GGTTGCTCGAGGGCAAACCTTGAAACCAGAATTACAATGGGGAAACGCAAAATCGACAAAACCTTGTCACCAGAATTATAATGGCGGAACGCACCGCGCACACCAAAAATGTACGTTTCACCACACGTTCGCGCGATCGACACGCACGATCTCCGCAGAGGGTTGCTCACGGACAAACGCGATTCGCGTCTCACCACACGCGCGCGCGATCGATGGCCACGATTCCACGAGAGGGTTGCGTTTCGTAAGACCTGCTCGCACCGCCCCGCCGCCTAAAGAGAAGAATAAAGAAGAAGTTGGGTAGGTGAAGTTGGGTAGGTGTCTTAAGGAAGATGTCTACACCTACCTATCTTCACCTACCTATCTTCACCTACCTATCTACACCTACCTACCTACACCTACCTGTCTATACCCACTTATCAATACCTACCTATCAATATCTACTTCTGATGTACTTTGATATTGTTGATCTGATACTTCTACTTCATATGTTATGTTGTGATGTGATATTATTTTATCACATGATATGAGATGATATGATCTGACATTGATGTGATGTGATATGATATTATAACCTGATATGATATAATATGATATGATATGAGATTAATAACCTATGAGGTGATGATTAGATGATGATGTTGTGAGGGTGAAGTAGGAGAAAGTTAGTAAAGAATATGAAGTAAGGAAGGTGAAGTAGGATAAAGAGAGTCAGGAAGAGAGAGTGGGGAAGATGAAGTAAGAGAAAGAGAGTAAGGAAGAGAGAGTGGGGAAGATGAAGTAAGAGAAAGAGATTAAGGAAGATGAAATAGGCAGCAGTGCTTAAGGAAAAACCCTTCGCAGGTGCTTTCGGGAATAATATTATATATATACATCATATCTATATATCGAAAAAACAACACGTCACCACCATCATCACAATAGTAAATAAATCACCGTGGTCCTCGTCAAATTATTGCACAGGCAAAACTCATCACTAACCGTCACAAACACACACGTGGCCTTTTATGAACAGATCTTCATCCTAAGTGAAGTAACAAATTATTTGATGCAAGTGGCATGTCGTTTCTTCTGCAACAGTCAAAGCAAAGTACCTTGTCTTGCTCGGTCACCAACGCCGAGACGTAGGTAGTGGCTGAAGTCTCCAGCACTGACTAATTTACATTGCTCCCATAACAACTGGTATCGTCTTCCACCCTCATCCTCATCTAGCTTCAGGGAAAAGAAACAGAGTTGTAGTCCGTGTGAAGCCCTTCGATACCTGATGTACCCATATATACCCCGATTCTCCCGTGCTCACAGGGGAGTTGTGCGTCAGTGATGGCCGATCAGTGTCACCAAGAAGGATTAGCTTGCGCAACTCCACTGCTGGCCCTTTTCACATTTACTTGCACCTTGACCTCCCTGAATGTCCCTGAATTCGAGACACCTGTATTTTCGGGGCTAGTTCCAAAAGCGCGCCTGAAGAGGGGTAAACACCGAGGCACTTGAAGGAGCTGTCTGTCGAGATCACCTCAAGGGACGACATCTCTGCAGCGAACGCTGCCCGGGGGTCCTGGGTTGCTGGGTTGCTGGTCCCGAGCACAGGAGTCGCTAGCGGAGCTGGTGGGACAGGCTGTGTGGGAAGAGACGAGAATGCTCTGTCTCAAAACATCTCAAAACCATGAGCGGATTGTTCGGTCTCGAACCACAACTCCACAACTACATACAACTACTGCAGGCAAGGACATAAGACGAAGCAAATCCTTATGTTTTGTTTAGTTGACATGGTGGCTTTGGCTAAGCTCTCTCTCTCTCTCTGTCTCCTGACTATTGAAGGCCAGCTTGACGTCCATGAGCTGCAAGCCTCGGCAAGGACGCTACTAGGAGCAAAGGGCATCGCTATTAGTAGCTAATTTGCTACTAGTAACAAGAGGCTATTGGTAACAAAGGGCATTTCTACCAGTAGCAAGGCGCTACTAGTAGCTCCTGGCCTTACTACTAGTAACAAGAAGCTATTAGTAACAATAAAGCCGAGCCCGGAGATTCCGAGCCTACGAGCCGACTCGCATAAAACACGTCGAGTTTCGAAAGGGCGGGTGACGTCCTTTGTTGGAGTAGGTAGCTGGCCTTGTGGGAGTGTATAATAAGCCTGCATGAAATTGCTAATTAGTCCTCAAACAGGATATTGTATTTTAAGCCTTATATATATATATATGTTGTTTTGCATGGCTTTGGCGATATGCGCAACATCTTCAATTGCTTTCTACACTCTTGGTAACATGACTGTCAACATGCAAATGCGTCAATTGCGCAACTGAAGCTCACTTTCAGAAACTCTCACGACAACTACGACAAGAATATCAGGAAGGTTTTTGTAAACAAACAGTCATCGTGTGGGTTCTCGTTTTGTCACCATTCTGAGGACGTAAACGTTGGTCTTGCTTTGAGGCCATGGTTCAACCCATGCCCTGAGAGAAGGTTTGAGAGTAACCTCTGGAACCTTCTTTGTCATCCGTCCAAGTGCGGGGTTTGATATCAGTCACACTCTTTTTGTTGATGTTTATTATACATTGGTCCACACAAACAAAACAACTCTTTTCACTAACCATCCGTAGACAGGTCTTCATCCACCAGGTATTTCCACGCTTTATTGAACTATCTTGAATCATCGTTTAAGATCCATCATGATCCTTCCCTCTTCCCACTGTAAGGAGGAGGATTGATATCCAAAAACATCGATGATGCGACTGAGGAAAGAACTCTCACACCATGCATGGGCATGGTAAATCTCTACCAGCACTCTTTTGTTAGAGGGCCCCCTCTCAAACCTGTGTTATATAGATAGTTCCTGGTTCACAAATGGACAGCGAAACAACAGTTTGAAGCACAGGTTTCCACAAAAGAGTTATTTTCTAAATTGACAATCTACAAGCTTGCGCGGGAAATGACTCTAAACTCAAAGAAGGAAACTATCATGTTCAAGACAAATTCGACGTGGATGTCATGTCGCATAAAACATGTCCAATCATCCGTATATAATTCTGGCAAACAAAGCGAGTCAACACAACTTCATGTCGCACTTCAAACGGCATTGTAGAACTGAAAACAAACAAAAGAACGTGTCTTCCCCCTTTGACTTATATGAATATGTGTGTTATATTGCACAACCTTTTCGGGGGAGAGTGAAACGCTATTTCCAACGTTGGATGATGTTTGAACACGATTGAAACTCATAAGGAAAGCGCTACTAGGAGCAAGGGCATCCCGACTAGGAACAAGAACGCTACTAGGGGCTCCTGGCCTTACTACTAGGAGCAAGGACGCTACTAGGAGCAAAGCGCAGGAAAGCACGGCCAGTGGAGGTCGGGAGCGAACCGCGCTGGTCCGAGGCTCTCAAGTTGGTGATGAGCCTCTTGGCAAACCTGGGATGGTCACCACATGAGATCCCCAGAGCCATGGCATGTTTACAAAGCCATGGGTCCATGAGTATCAAGATGAGCATGATGATAGATAGAACATCAAAGCAACATAAAAGGAACATCTAATATCCGAACACTTGGAACCTGATCTCTCGGTTCAGCAAGTATCAGTAGAAAGTGTTCTGCAAACACACACACACACCAAGTGGCCAACTAATGCCGTCTCTTGAGTCAAGATCTGGGGACCCTCGTGACCGTCATGATACACAAACATGTGAAGTGACTCGAAGCGACCCATGGTTTTTGGTGGGTGGCTTTGACTCACACCAAGACCGTGATAGCAAGCCACCTAGCCACCTAGCCAATCTTATATAAAGGAATCGTGTTCTTCTAGCAGTGCAATGTTCATTGCCTCCAGTTGCTTGACAATTCTTGGTTGGGCACAGGAAGAGTGCATTCATGATGGTGAACGGTTTCCACTTGCATGTTTAAAGAGGGCTTCTTCGTTCGTCTTTTGTGGTGTACAGATTTTAAGGGTTTATTACCACACGGTTACCCAAGATCACTATGACCCAGCCCTGCCTTACACCAAATCCAGGCTCGGCCTGATCATAGGCTTCCTGTCGGATGATCGAGGGGGCAGGGAATGGGATACATTTTGTACATGCAAATAAAGGGATTGAGGTTGAGATGCCACAAACAACTTCAAATCAAGCTCCTCAGGTACCATAATGGATTCCAGAGCATTCAGTTTGAACCGTTGTTTCAACTACAGGATAGACTTGCAAAGACTTTCAAGGTAAGTCCTTCGTTTGTGGGTCCGACACAAATCTTTGTGGTACATGTCTGTCGAAGTGCCACTGGTAGCTGGGAATCCGTCTATGAATCGCTCATAGTAAAGTCAACAACACCAGGCAAACAAAGTCAACAACACCAGGCGCAATGTGTTGCTCTTTGTTGTTACTCAATCCACGGGTGATAAGGCTTCGATCCAACACAACTCAACACAGTATTCAATGCCTGTCTGAGTCCTTCAGCTCTATGATTTATATACACAGGGAAGAAACTTTGTAGACTGAACGTCATGACATAGACATAGACACTCTTCGAAGCAGCACCAATTTTACAGTCCCAAATTCTTCCGGGATTGTCCAACGAACACTACATAATCCGTTCTTCACAGTCCTTCGCCTGTTGCTGGCGTTTTTGAAGATCCTCAGCGCTCAGTCAACACCAATGGGTTGCACAGTCAAGCATCATCCCCTTCACCCTCGGAGCTCTGCTTGAAAAAACACGGTTCATGTCATGCTTAACACCGGAAACCCGAAGGCCATGGGTGCCTTGAAAGCACCTCGAAAGTTCGAGTGATTTTTGGAGGGAAACATATCGAATCCCTTGATCAACTTGATTGGTTCCACCTCAATCTCAACCTGACCCTAGAGACACTTGAACACACATCTATTCATCTGGATCTATCTATATACTGTAAATCTAAATACCATAGGAAAGCATCCAATGGTTCTTGGAATTTCCATCCTACGGATCCCAGCACACGTTCGCAACCGAGAAGAGGCTGGGGCCTCCCACCAAGGTGGGCATCGTCTCAACAACCGCAGTGAGACTGCTTTGGAATAAAATCCCCAATATGGGGAGGCCTTACAATCCAAATGTCTTAGATGCTTTTAGTAATCAACAGTCTACATGTTGCAGGAAGTAGCAACCGGAACAGAGGGTCTTAAAATGTCTTAAGGATCCAACGAAGTTGTTCTTCCCCACACTTCCGCCCGCTTGGATCGTGTAGTCGTGGGTTTGCCCAGGCACTCTCAGCTGCGTCATCCGCAGCTCCACCGCCTGGAGCTTGGTGCTGCGAACATTCCTGCGCACCAACAAGTCGGAGTACGAGAGGAGAACAGCATCCACGCAAGCTTCTATGCGTGACACTAGAAAGGTCGCGTTCTTTTTTGGCATGCTAGTCAATTGCAAAACCTTCATAGCATCATTAGCATCACGTCATTATGTATGTAGATGTATGCAAAAGCAAAACACGGTGAGCCTCACCCTGTTGGCCGTTCCCATTCTTTTCACGGTTTTCTACACCCTGAATTGATGGGTGGCCATTACCTGTCAACTGGAAGTGAATCACAATCATGTCCATTGAAGCCCAGGCCACGAAACACCTGTCCTGAGGGCTTCTTGATCAGAGTCCTCACTGAGGTGCAGGCCATGTAGCTCCACGCCCTCCACATTCACGCTGATTTTACCTCGCTCGAGTGTCTGATCGCTTCAAGAAAACGATTCTATGTCAACGAGCGTCTGTTTCGAAGGAAAGGGCCCGAATGACTATCAGTGACATCCTTTCGACCGAATGAACAAAGTTTTCCTAAAAAACTAGGAACCAGAACCATTAGTGCTTAGTGCGCGCGCTATCCTGCGTCCATATGTGGTAGCGTCTCAGTAGCTAGGAGCGAACAAGTTTGTCCCTTAATTAAGTAGGCGCCTACTTATATGAAGTAGGAGTCCAGGAGCGGGCTAAGAAACAGATTGAAGTCTCTTGTTCCTCTCCCGGACAACTCGCCCCACGAACAAAACCGGGTGTGCCGAACATACAGCGCCTGAGAGGATCCGCCGGGTGCTGGGGAGGGTGATGCAGATCCGCTTCACCAGGCCCTTGGGCACTCGAACACCTCGAGCGAGTGCGAAGTGTTTTCTGCGGAGTAAACGGCATACCAGGATAGCTTCGTTGACCTACCAACGAGGTCAAGCTACATGGCATTGGGGCTCCAGGTTTTGACCCATCCCCATATGAGCGACGGGCAAAACACCCATCCCCAGGTTTTTTCTGTGAACCTTATCGTTCCTGAGGGTTTGGACACACCTAACAACATGTACTAAAACCTTATCGTTGTTTCTGTGAACCTTATCGTTCACGAAGGTTTCCTTCACTTTACGTACTTAGTCTTCACTGTAGTGATGCTGCCTTCATCGGAGGTTTTGACCAATCCCCACATGATTAAGTGCAAATTCAATGTGACGCACAACTACTGCGGGGCACCTCAGTCGAAGCTCCTTTTCCTTTCATGCGGATGGTGCTGCTCGAGCTCAGGACGTCAGTCGGTCGCCCAGTCGGAGAAACAAAAACAAGTGGGGGCCAGTGGGGTGAGTTCGTTTAAAGGGTTTCGAACGGATTTGGAAGGTTCTTTCAACTAACACAATCTTGAGTCAAGATTCTTGACTCCATGAACGACCGAGTCTGATTCATCCTGAAGCTTGGGGATCAACGAGCATCTGTTTTGGCACCATCTACCTTGACGTGACTTGCCTGTTTCAAACCAGACTTGACAAGGGCACCGTGATCTACAAGTGGGCAGACGTGGCAAAGAGTCCTGGCCAAGGCTTCTCCAATCTCGCCATCTTTAGTCTCAAAACAAATCTTGCTAATCCAGTGTTGCTTGCGGAGTTATTGTCTTATATATAATAAGTATCGTTCTGCTTCGCCACGAGAACCCACCAAGACCAACAAATTGGCCCTTGTGTCCGCTCATCGCCACACCGGTCAATGAGTGAATTGAGTGAAAATCTGATTCTCATGCCTCCAAGATCTGTTTTTCTGGAGTCCCTCTTTCCGCCACAATGTCTCCACCACCTTCAGCTCGCACCATGACCGCCGGCGCCCTTTGCACCGTCCTTTGCTGCGCCCGCGGCTGCACTGCACGCGGCGCTGCAGGTGGAAGAAAAGGCTGCCCTCCCAAAAGGTGACCAAAGCGCTCGAGCAGCTCCTCACGCGGAGCGGCACCTAACACCCTCTAGTAGTCCCCAGAATTTGTCTGTGATTGGGCAAAATGATATAAAAGCGCACATTCCGTAACATTCCTGACATGTCTTGATGTTTTGTTCTTTCACTGTTACATCTCCTCTCTTGGCATGTCCAAGGCCAAGGCATAAAACAAGCGCGAGCTTTGCATCGGTTAGCAAAAGGCACCACCGGACCGGTGAAAAAGTGCCTATGGTTCACTGCTTGATCCCTGAATCGCCCAGCGCTTGAGCCCAGCGCTTCGGCATTAAACATGGTGGCGAGTGGCCGAGTGGCCTTCATTTGATCAAAGCATGGCTTGACAGTCTGGATGAACATTTTTGAGGGATCCACCTACCAACGAGGTCAAGCTACATGGCGTTGGGGCTCCAGGTTTTGATCCACATGGATCCACATGGCCGTCTGAGATGGACGCCACTGGATGAAGTCAGATTCAACTTCCGTGATTGAAGAGATGTTGACATGTCATGTCCAATTCTTCACACACCCAGTTACGTTATGTTGGTTTCACCCAGGATCATGAGAACATAACTATATAGCTCGGCTCAAGCATGGGCCTTGCCTTCAATGCCAAGGAGACCCAGCACATCAGGCTTCACCTGGTGATTGAGTTTGCACCGCTCAGAGCTTTGATGAGGACAAACTAGACATTGAGTTGATACCTCTATTTCCCATTGCCAGTTGTATGTACCCTAAAACACCGAGAATGAGACTAACAGCACCACATGAAGTGATTATCCATTCATTCGGCGGTATGGCCTGACCAAGCCTGCTTGTTTCGGTGCACTTCAAACACAAATGACTCGAGTCTCAACTCTCTTCTACCCTAGAAATGGAAATGCACCTCTACCTCCACGCACTTTTCTAAAATTTGTTTTCCATCGAAACGTCCTGCACCGACACGAAAACACGTCCCCACCCTTTGCTGCTTTAGAACACGTCCCCAAACATCGCACCTTCACGTCGGTGAGCTCCAGCTTGCCCTTCCACAGGGACAAATGCAAATCATTTGCATCGATCCCATCGACCTCAAGCGACGTGCCACACCGTTCACACCTGTCCGGACGCGAGGAAAATGAATGCAACGTCCTCTTTGATTAGCAGCTTGGAAATGGTTGGATGATCAAATTTACAGTACGTGGCTAAAAGATTCAAAGTACAGGGGACTATATACTCACTACGGCTGAACCTCCGGTTTTGAAAAAGGAAAACGATAGAACATGTAGAATTGCATACAAGGGACTGTGAAGGGACAGAATCTCCTAGTCTTAGAGTGTCATAGAGTGTAGATGTATATAGTGTCTGTTTGCAAAAAAACTGAACTCAAAATTGGGCATGAGTGCAGTCTACAATTACTTTCATTTGGGCTGGCAGGTCATCCCCATCCGCAAAGGTACACTGGTAGGATAGCTGGGTCGGGGTGAATTGTGGTCTGTCGTGGCTACGGACTGTGTTGTCACTATGTGTCATTGCTTGTTGTCTGTTGTCTGCTGTCGTGATTGTCCTGGTGTGGTGTCAATATTACATGTTGCCGATGTTTGTCGTTGTTTGCTGTGTCCTTATGCAAGGTGTTGTTGTTGTTGTTGTTGTGGTTCTGCTTGGTGTTGCCATACAAAACGCGTCCATAGTTGTTGTCCGCTGTCATTTCGGGCCACCGGCGGGACCACTGGGTCGGGCCACTGGCAGGATGTGCTGCGGTTTTTGTTTTGGCGCTTTGTGTTGTGTCATTGATGCTTGTCTGTTGTTGGTGCTGCCATTGTGTGCGTGTGTGTGTGCGTTGCGTGTGTGTGTGTGTGTCATTGCTTCTTGTCTGTTGTTATGTTGTTTAGCCTTATGTTCGGCGTTGTCATGGTGTGTTGTCAGTGTCATGTGTCTCTTTTTATCTGTGTTTGTCATTGATCTAAAACATGACACATATCCAGGCGTCTGTCTTTCGATGTCTTTCTTTATGATGGTCACTGGTTACTTCGAAATTGTTCCCTTGAAAACACTTTGGATTCACTCACTTCATGTTTGGATGTCGATGTTCCATGCTCTCATCGATTTTGTTCCAAATCCATCTTCCCTCAGGTGGAAGTCCATTGTCCATGGTCCGCCATGCAACGTAGGGCTGCAGGAATTTCACCAGGAAGTGCTCCACCGCGGCAGTGACCATGGCAGTCCACTCGCGGTCCGGTCTTCAGGTTGGGTTTTCACGGTGACCACCGAAGCTTGACGGGAAGCTAACGTTGGGTGTGTTGAAACAGGATGAAACAGGTGTATTTGGAATGAATGCAAATGGCTTGAACAATTTTGAACAGGGGTGCCTTTATGGCGACAAGAGCTGATCTTGAGGGGTTTTGGAGCTGCTTCAAAAAGGGGGCTCGTCAATGACAACAAAATATGACAAAATGAATCCTCAGCACAGGAGTACAAATGTCTTGTTGGTGTCGTCAGCGTTGAGTGAGTATCTGAGTATGTCTGGGTCCTGACAGCACTGGTCCAGTTGGTGTTCAAAAGTGTGCGAGGCAAAGCAATGATCGATCAATCAACCGATCTTGGCAACTCATGACGGGGGTGCATCAGAATTATTTCGACCAGCCAGCGGTGATGATTCTGAAGCCAGGCCATTTGATCCGTTCGCGTCGTTGTCCAGCGGGGAAATCAGGCAACCTGCAACCTGGGTTTCTCGGCAGTTTCCTATTGAAGCCGAAGTGGCAAAACAGATACAAAAAGCAACAAACAAAGTAGCAAACTCTCGGACTCTTAGCTTATACATATATATATATAGTATATATATATATTAACATATATATATATATACACATCATATATATATATGGTTAAGTAATATGTATGTGTAAACAAATGGATATATGTAAATCTATAGTCCGTCCAAGTAATGGACACAACATCTTAGGTGGCCTAGGGTTGTCCCTTCATTCATCGGATGACTGGGCCGCTGAAACTCCATCCCAACCGCTGGGTGAATTGGGAATTAAACATTATATACATAAAAACAGTTTGTTTCAGGTACAACTGGGTGACTCGGCCCAGTAAAGGAGCCCCAGTGACACTTGCAACCTGAGCAGGTCACTCCCAATACTGTCAACACCTATGGCGAACACCCATGTGTCTGTCACTGAATAAAGTTCATAAACTCTCCGATCGTTTTGCAACACACCGGGCCGTCGCTGGTAGGTTGGAGGTCCCGGGGTGCGAACGGGGGTCAGCCTCCAGTGCTCAAAACATCGCCCGCCACAAACGGATCCCCAGAAACCCATCTGCCATCATCTGCCATCCGTGTTCGCAAAACATCATCCTCTCTTCCAAACTTTCCCTGTTCTGCCGGTATCGCTGCTTCATGCCGCTTCCACACAAAGGTCACACCCATCACCAGCTCGGTGTGCCGGGTGCACATCCTCGATGATGCTCCGGACCACGGCAAAGTCATCGGAGGCCCTGGTATCGGTGGAAAAACGACGCTGGCGAAGCCCAGGGCCAGGGGTAAACCCTAGCAATTGTATGGTCCTATGCGCGGGATGTTGGATTCAACATGTTCCCCTAAAAAATCCTTGAAATTGGAGGATCAACCTGTGGCTGCTCGTGCTTAAGCTTTTGAGCAACACAGCAGCATGCAGCCGCAAACAAACAATTTACAGCAAGAATCTGGAAAATTTGGTCTTGGTTGTGAGGTAAACATGAATATGGCGCATATTTGTCCCCAAAACTGTACTTGCTTGGAGGAAACATGAGGAAGCCGTCACTGCAACGACATCTGAAGTTGTGGTCTACCACCCGATGTCTCTCGGGGCTTACACCGGTTCCATCCCCATGTCCCAACCGAAGTCCCCAAGAGTCCGTTTCGTCCTTCGGTTGCCATCTCACTTTTTTGACACTTCTTGGTGCAAGTGCCATGTGTGCCAAGGCTGCCAAGGCCGGAGTCTTTCTTGGGCGGTCTTGGAGATACCCGTTCGCCACCCGTTCCGGCCAGCTGAGGCGCCCCCACGCCATTGGAGTGAAAACTCCCTGGCACGTGATGCACGTGCTGCCCGAACGAACCATGAATTTGATTAATCTGGCCTCGGGTGTTAAGAAGGGAGAAAGCCTTAGGGATCAATATCAATGAGTTTTGCTATCCGAATCTTTGACAGCTCTCCAACAAAACCTGTTCCAAACAGCACAAAGTTTCAGATGCCTTTCCATGCTCTTCAATGGAACATCTCAAAGTTTTGCTTCCCCTGGGTGACCCCGGACGCAATGCATTGCAAGGAACTGCCACCTTCAGCGGTTAGGGAAATTTGTGTGACAGTGTAGACCCACGAGCAAATATCAAATGACCACACGCTCTCAACGCCGCCTGCTTGCGAAGTCAAAGCCGCCCAGGGCAGGGTTTGGGCTCCGGAACGTTTGATTTCGCTCGGCATGTTGCGGTGAGAGGTCCAGAATCAAACTCAAAAACAAAGACAGCAAAACCGTAAGCTGCACAGGTGTGAACCAAGTTTGACTCAGCGAAGGCTCCAATGAGATTTCAGTTACTGTAAGTATCTCAACCAAATACATATAGGATTATATAGGAGTGGCCTTCTCGAAAATCACCCCAGTGCATCTGACGCTCTCCCTGGAATGATCAGAGTTCAAGCGGATGGCAAAAATGCCCAACATGCCCATCTGCTGAGGATCCCACCTTTGAAAGAAGACAATTCAACAGTCTATGCTTTGGGAGGTGCTTTGTGTGTTTATTCCCCAAACAGTCTTGCTGTGAGGAGTTCTCTATTCTTGCATAGAAACGATGCTGGGCCACCGCCCTTTGTCTCCCCTTGTCTCCCATGGCGTGTCTGGATGCTGGGCTGAGATGATGTTGTTTTGTCTCCCTTCATCTCCCTCCCATGGCATGTCTGGATGCTGGGCTGAGATGATTTTGCTTTGTCTCCCTTTGTCTCCCCTTGTCTCCCATGGCGTGTCTGGATGCTGTGCTTGGGATCACTTTGCTCTGTCTCTCCTTGTCTCCCCTTGTCTCCCCTTGTCTCCCAATGGCATGTCTGGATGCTGGGCGGAGATTTGGCGCCAGGAATGGATCGGCCAAAAAGAAAACTCCGATTGCCGCTGCTGTTTGGGGTCGATGCTGGTGTAAGACTGAATGGCTTGGCAAACCTGAAGCAAGCAAATGATTGGAAAGTATGAGAGATGTTCATCGCTATGGCGTGTTGTACTTTTCAAAGAAAACAATCATATTCCTTGGTTTGGAAGTTGGTTTCTTCTCCCAAGCGCTTCCCACCTTGTGTTTGGGAGAGAACACATTTCCCTTCAAAAAAGGGAAGCCTTTCCCTGAAAACTTGACTGATGAGCCTGGCGATTTTCTCTTTCACATCAGCCATTCCCACTTTGGGTCATGGCAAATCGCGTACAAGTCCGAATCCTGGACATGTCCGCAGGGTGGGTCGGCAAAATGATCTGGCAGTGGAGGAAAAGCGTGATCTGAGAGGCTAGAAATTCAAAGGGATAAAGAACAAACATATTTTTTGCAACATGAGTTTAAACAAATTGGTTTTGGTTTCCACATCCTGCTTTCCGGTCACTGACATAGCTCGATCTGCAAAGTTCCACGGCGATGGATCTGGAAGACGTTCAAAAATACTACAAATAGACTTGCAGGCAGGACTTGATATTGACCCACCAGAGATTATCTTCCATCAGCCCAGCGCACCGCAAGAAGACCAGAAGAAATCACCATGATATATACAAAAACAGTACAAATCATTTTTGGCGACTGAAGTCACCGGTGTGGAACGCACGTTCAGAAGCAGAAAAAAGAAAGGCCACAACGACCAAAGTATCGTTTGAAACCTCGTCCGCTTAGGATGCAACAAGGAACCGCAGTTCCTCGTCTGAGGCATCAACTTTGGACACCCCAAAGAAGAAATGCCCAACTCACTGGCCTGGGAAGCGCTACTAGTAACAGGTGCCACGCTAGTAGTAACAGGTGCCTTACTAGTAGTAACAAACAAGCTATTAGAAACAAGTGCCTTACTACTACTACTACTACTAGTAACAATAAGAATTGAATTGTAATTACTAGCAAAGGAATCTACTAGCCCAACTCACTGGCCTGGGAAGCACTTTTTTAAAGAGGGGGTAGGCCGCTAGAGGTAGTAGCTAGGTAGCTGGTAGCTTAAGTAGCTACTACTTAGGACGCAGGATAGTTCATGCACTAATGATTTGGTTTCTAGATTTTTAGGAAACTTAACTTGGTTTCAGATTCATGGGGGCAGCCGTCGTTCTTGAGAGCTTGTTATCCATCTGCTTGGAGCTGTGGGTCTCTGGGCTGTCCGAGTTGTGATGAAACATTGCTGGGCATACCAGGCAGCTGCCATACTCACTCTTCGAGATTATTCACAACATTTAACAACCATTAACTCACAGATATGCTGTGGCACTTTGTCTTCCAAACAACCCTTTGTTCAGGGCATGGCAACGACCCGGAGCCCGCGTTCGAATCTCACAGCAAAGAACACCTTGTTCCATCCTGATGTTTGCATCCATTGGGGACAGCAGGATTTGGTTGTGCCTGAAAAATTGGATCATGTTTCCCATCTTTAAGGGGCTGGATGTTTGTTTATATGTGGTGCCCATTGACAACACGTTTTTGAACCAGTTCAAGGTTGAGGTTGCTGTGAAATGTTGTGCTTCTACATGCTGCTACACATCGCTGTCTTCCTTCCTTCCTTCCTTCCTTCCTCTTTTCCTCCTCCACAACAAAGTCTCTTCCTTTCCCAACTTCGATTCACCGTCGACAGCGCTCCCTGAGCCCTCGGCCAGGCGAGAAGCCTCCAGGCGCTCGAGCACACCACGCCACTGAGCGCGAGATGGACAAGTGCAGAAAGGGGTTGACCAAGCGCTTGCCACCTACCAGTGGCTGGACCTATCTTTTCACACTATAGAAGCGGTCCCAAGTCGTAGTTTCAAGCGGTGGACCCATGTTTTCCACGACGAAACTGGTTTGTTGTGTCAGTCTGCGGGTTAGGACGCATCGAAATAGTTCCGCGTACACGGTCTTCAGGAAGAAAACTCTGGTTCTTGCTGGGGAGTGCCATCCGTACATTCATCGGTTTTTCCTGTACTTGTGAGAGTTGATGTTACATAAATATACAGTAACATATTAATATATAACTTGGAGTCACCATTCAAATAATGCTTGACTAGAATCTACCAAAATTACATCCAAACTCAGGTTTCGGGAAATGCAAGGGATGTGCCGAGAGGCCAAGTATCCAATTCATTCTGTCGCGCTTGGTGGCAAATCTCCTTGGCAAAACGAGAGTGCATGGAACTTCAAATTCAAGTTCGCCCAAAACAATGTCTCCCCGATGGCCCTGAAGCAAACCTCAAGACTGCCGTAAATACAGTATAAAATTGTGTCCGAAAGTGCGAAAAAAACACAGCTGTTGATCAAGCGTGCGCCAATTACGGGGGGATCCTTAATGAACATGGGTTGACCGGTTGACATACGTATATTATTTTATAATATATATATATACACACCTTATATTATTCACCTATGATAATTACTACAACATATATATATATACTGTACTGTATATATATACTGTACTGTATATATATATATTGTAGTTATTGTACTGTATCATATTGTCTTTTATATGCACATTTATATGATTTGTTCCTTGGGTGTGAAGAAACACAGTACGAGTACCATTGGGTGTGTCACAATCCGGACCACCGGTCAACTCCACAAGCATTTGAGCACCTCATTACCCGCTCATGCTCGAACCCAGGTCTCAATTTCGCTGAGAGGCCATGAAGCGTTGATGGATGGGGTTACATACCTCTGTGGCAAAAAAAAAACACTAAATGCGACGGATTCGGAGCGGCGGGTCTGGACATGAAGAGAAGCCGAATCTCAAGGATTAGATTGGAGGTCTTAGGTGTTGACCCATCAAGAATTGTCCAGAAGTCTGCAGAAACAACTTCCAACCGCAAAAAGACTTTGGTTTGGGGGCATAGCCATCACAAGTGGACATGTTCTCTTTGGGCTTCATTGATGTCCATCTGGTTCATTTTGACCAGTTCCAGTAGGTGCAAGGACTCGGGTCCAAAGCATAACAGGAAAACCTCGTCGCCTGTGCAAGAAAGAGGTCCAGTACAAGATCCTCCGATCTCCATCCAAGGTACTATTTTCTGCCCTTGGCCTGTGGCCACCGCAACCAACGCACTGGATGGAATTCCATGATGTTATGCTCTGGAGAACCAAACAAGAATGCCAGCATACCATACCTGAACTCTTTGGATCCAAGAAACAAACTGCTGCACTGGAATCTTGTACAAGTTCCGTTCAACGTGGATGATTGATCTGGTTGGTTGAAGTGTTCAAAGCCCTTCCCGGACTCAAGCCATGGCCGCACTCCACCTCTTCATGCTTCAGGCAATAGGCCATGCACTGGAGCGAAGAGGATTTGGGCGGCTGTCATGGAACACCTCTAACCCCCCTAAAGCTGAACCCGAATTCAGCTTCTTGTCTATTTTTCGAGGGAAAGAGTGAGGCCCGAACTCCTTGGTTCCAAACCAGCTAGTAGGTGTCGGCAGGATGCTGTCAGGACCAAGAGTGTGACGGCCTCAACCTACTTGGCAACAGCCCCGCCACTACACAAGCACATTAATAATTAGGTGTGATGACCCCCTTGAGTGGGGACTGCTTTCCTGATGTTTCTTGGTTTTCGATTGATTAATTTTTTTAGATGTTGTGTGACTTATGAGTATTCTTGAATGAAAGCTTTTCCGTTTTATTACTCACCCCCGTTACAGTACTTTTCGGTTGTGATTAAGTGGAGTGTGCTATCTAATTACTTGTCTACTCTGATGTAAGCTCATAAAAATCAACCCTGCATCAACCCCTGCAGATTGAACTCGTTCTTTCTTTCTGTCTTTCCTTTATTGTTTCTTCGCTCTTTCTCTCTCCCTCTCTCTTTCTCTCTCTCTGTCTCTCGCTCTCCCTCTCTGAGTCAATTGTTGGCCAAAGCCATGCAGTTGATGGACAAATTCGCTTTGACCGCCTTTGAAACCTTAGAACTGTACAAATGAACAAATCGATGGATCCACTTAAACTGTCAATACCATCTTTCCATCACGAGTATGGTTACAGTAAGAAGAAACACATCCGAGATTTCAATGAAAACAAATCACAGATCTATTGAACATGCAATTGATGCAACATGTATATATATTATATATTGTAACATGTTGTATATACTGTACATTTTTGCTCTATTGTATAAATTGTACATTTTTGTTCTGTTCTCACTATGCGACTCAACTATAAGGACCCAAATTAATGCCCCAACTTCCGCGTATTCCGCTCAAAACGAGGTGTGTCCGACCTGCATCAGCTTGCACTGCCAATCGAAGTCGAAGCCTTTGGGCGATGCCTCATCGATCCTGGAGAGCGATTCTTGGACCGATCCATACTACCGGAGAGCATGGAGAGCCAGGCGTCCTCCTCTTTTTGGCTGTTCATTTGACATGAATTTGAATTCATTTGACCCGTGTTCTTATCTTTTTTGAAGGAGCCATTCACTTGCCAAACAGACACACACAGGGAAAAAGTATGAAAAACAAACACAATTGAAACAATGCCTTTTTCACTGCACAATAGGTCATGACAACGTGGGTTTGTCTAGCCAAACTTGCCACAGAAAACAACACGGCTGCACCTGTCGCTGTAGGCTTCACGTCACCGCCGAAGCACCCGGTGGGTTTGGCTTCGATTTTCGGCCGTCTTCCGCCCTTCAGGAGGTCATGCCAAAGCATGGGTTGCCGAAGCAGGGATACCCACCTTTCACCACTTCACATCTTCACATACATCTCCATATTACATTTTAATACATATAACGGATTACAAAAAGAACACAGCAGCCGCCCCTTTTTCCCACAATCTTGAGCCAAACATGTCCGGTGAAGTGAAACGTCAATGACTGGATCATGTGAAGGCTACATTCATCAAGATTCCTATGACTTGCATGTCATGTGAGACTAAATTCAATACAGTGCTTGGTGACACATCGAATGCGAATCTTGCCTGCAGAGATGCCTTTCTTTGGTTGCTCAAGGACTGCTTCCCCTGGCGTGCCAGATGCATCGACCAGGGTGCATTGCTAGTGGATTAGGGTAGTGTTTTTACCCCATGTCTCTCTCCTCCCCCTTCACACATTAACAGCTTTAGTGGAAGATGGGTGCTTTGAGAGATTTGGATCCACAACGCCCAAAAAAGCTCCAAGGCGTGACTCCATTTGGAAACAGGCAACGGTTTCGTCATGGGATCAGCCTTTTGATGGTCTGTTTTTATATAAAGCAATTTGGCACTGCCATTTGAGAAAGTTTCGTATAGAGAGGATAGGTTGATTCGATGGTGCTTCGAAACATGTCGGAGTTTGGGGCTGTAGCCCTGGCCGCAGATGGTTATCACGGCGCTGTTATCCTGGAAACACACCAATTCAACTTCTCTTCTGAACACTTCTTCAACGAATTCAGCAACTGGCAAGGCGTCAAATACTCCGTGGGCAAGTGATATGATCTCGGCCTCTGTGGTCGACCGAGCAGTGGCACCCTGTCTCTTACTGTGCCACGACAGTGGCCAGTAGGACGACGGTCCTTCCACACACAGCAAACCACCAGAGGTGCTCTTGGCATCCTCCACGGCACTTGAGTGGTCCGCATCGGTATATAAGACCAGTCGTAGGTCTTCCTGACGGTCTGCGATTTTGCCCCGTAGGCAGAACGCTTTGGTCTCGTACAGATAGTTCATCAATCTGTGCAGACGGCGGTCATCGGCACGACTCCACTTCGTGACACGGCGGGTGAGGTCCCCTATTGCCTTGACCGTGTCTGGCCTGGCGGGTCTGCCCGCCCATAGGACTTTCATTAAGACCTTACTGGCATCACTAAGGCACGGCGCTCCTCCCATTCATTCACTGGAATGGAACCTTCTGGCAAGTACGGAGATGCAGCGCCCTTCAATGGCATCCCTGAAAGGTTTTCATACATTTGGCATGCTGAGTTGATGAAATCTACCATGTCGAAGTAAACCTCAGTCTTTCCGTTTTCTCGTTTGAACAAATGCGTCCTGCCAAGACAACGATCCACTGGGGTCGGTTCTTCTATTTCAAGGTGTTTTTGCAGGGATTCCCAGAACCCTTTGCGCAAACCTGATGGCCCTGAAAGCAAAATGTCATCGACGTACAATGTGAGGACTAGACCATTGTCAAAGGTCCAATTCGACTGGTTGTCTCTATCAGCTTTCCCTCCCATGAGTCCCATCACTTCACGGAATCTTGCATCCCAATGGAAACCCGATTCCGGGTGTCCGTACAGCGCCTTCTTCAAGGGCGCTACTGGCATTTTGATGTGGGCGAACTCTTTTGGTACTAGCTCCGGGGGGAGTAGCACCCATGTGTCCACCACTGTTCGCAAGACACTTTGAGTGTATGCACGCACCACGTCCGACTGTGAACTGTCATTTCCGGGAAGTGCACCATAGCTCAAGGGCTGTGATTCCCGAGGGATTCACTTTGAGTTCCTGCAGGATGGCGATGTTGTTGTCTTGGTCAACTATCTGATCTCCGCGGAACACTATTCTGGCCTTCAACTTTCGCAATTCTGGACTTTCAGCGTGCTTCATGGACAGGATTGTCATGAGACGACCTAGGTTGAATTTGCCACCCGACTTCATCAATTCTTCTTTGGAAATGATTTTGCTAACATCCCAAACCTCATTTGCTAGAAGACCATCCAACTCTTTCTTGATAGCTTGATCAGCCCCCGGATATTTTCCCCAATCTCGACGATCAATCAATTCATGAACACCCAATGGAACTTTATGCGGGACATGTTCTGACTGAACAAACGGACAAGTCGGCATGATTGGGACGGAATCACCATCAGGGTACAAGCTGTTCGAGATTGTTTGCGCCATCTCTTCAGTGTAGAAGGCTGACTTCCCAGTGCTTGAACCCTCCAAAGGACTGTGCTTGAAGTCTTTTGGGTGTTGGCATCGATATGAACCAAGGTCTTTTGCCAACTTTCTTGATGAAGTTACGATTCTCCATGTCTTCAGATGTGGCTCTCCCTTTCTGTCTTTCAAACCAAAGGCGCAGCCGTCACAGCATGTCTCATACAAATCATGTTTCTTGACAAACTGCAAAAGCTCGGTCAACATCCAACCCTCGCAATGTTTGGGCCATTCGAAAGCAATGTGTCCTTCGTTTTGGAGAATTCTCTCGGCAACCTTTATGTAGTTAGCTAAGAGTTTCTTGCTTGTTTTTCTCTTGGCTTTCAACTTCTTTGCGTAGGATGAACCATATCGATGCAGACACATTTTCTGCCAAGGACTCCATGAACCACATGGAATGCTTCCCCAAAGGTCAGCCCCCTTGAACATGTCTACCAACGACAAAAGGCTCTTGATGTCTTCTTCGTTTTCCAAGTTGGTTTGTTCTCGATGCAACCGAAAATGCGGAACCCCCCTTGATTCGTTAATATCTCCCAATTTCGAGTCTTTGCTGCAGCAGAATTCAAATCGCATGACTTTTGTCAGACCTAATCCTCCTTTCACGGGGCGGTTTCAATGTCTGAACGTTTTTAACTTCTGCAGGGACCGGAGTCAAACCAAGGATCGACATGACAGCATCAAGCCCTCGGAGGGGTTCCTTCTCAACATTGCATGTCATGGCTATGATTCTTGCCCTTACATTCTCGGGCTTCTCTTTTGGGAAGAAGTATGTGCATCCTACCCAACTTTTCGAGCAAATGCGCCTATTCGGTGACATGGATTGCCAATCATCTGCAAACAGTGAAGTCTTGTTTCTACAAGTCCAAACAGTTTGACGTTCTGTTGTCACTTCGAATGGACCGAATGGATAGTCGTTTCCGAGCGGTGTGAACAAACGCTTCCTAGGACGGACATGGATTCTCTTCCATGCAGCTTTGGCCTCATCAAAGTCCCAATAGTCATTCAGTGCCTCAGCATTACAGCAATCCACGAGAGAAGCCTGTAGCTTGCTCTCATGGTCTTCAGGCAGGACAATGGGATTTTCCTTGACTTTTCGGTGGCTACATTTGTCCTTCAAGGTGTGCATCGAAATGTCCACAGCGGCTTCTGATTTCTCTTTGTCTTTCTTTGAATCTGACTCTTTGGCTAGTCTCTCGTCTTCCAAGAGCTTGCCAATCCTAGCGTGGCATTCATCACTGTGCCTCACGCCTTCTGCGATTCTGTCGCAACCTTTGCAACCTACAGTCTTTCCGAACCTGATGCATCTCTCCAATGTAACATAAGGTCTGCGTTTACGTTTGGCTGGCTCGGGAGGATCCTCTCCAAACGGCAACGACTCTCTGGGATCAATGCTCAGCAACTTCCGATCCGCTTTAAACAATGCCAACTGCGAATTTGCTGCCTCTTCCAAAGGAAAGATGAACACCTCTGGTTTCACAAGCTCACTGGTATACACCTGGATTGGTTTCTCGCAACCTTTCTTGTTGGTGCGAACAGCTTCATAATCCAAAACCAAATGCACACCTCTGAACTTATACCCGTTGTCAATTCGCCATCCACAGAAAATTCCAGGAAAAGTCCTTGGGTCAAAGGCAGGAAGTTCTCTATGCTTGGGTGGTTTGTACCAAACTAATGCACCAAACGGAATCCGGTACCCATCAAAAACATTACCTGAAGCAACTTCATAACAGGTCTTCCCTTCCTTCAACGTTTTGGACTCGGGAGTCTCATTCGGATGCACAGGACACGGATGTGTGATTGCATGGGCTACAACAAAATACTCGATGCTCCTAGGCCAAAAGGCGTGCGGCAATCCTGACTTGAGATGGATTGCACGTGTGCCTTCTTTGATCCTTCGGATCAAGCTTTCCAACTTCGCATTGTGATACGGGTCATTCTCAATCCCTGGTTCACTCAACCAGCCCAAGTGTTCAACAGCTTTGGTCAATTCTTGAGCACAGTCAGTTTTCACAAGGCAAGAAGACCTAGGGGAAGCTCTGGTTCCAGCAAACTTCTGAAGGCACAGGATGTTCGAGTCAGTATCTCTATAGATGTCATGGAGTAAGCCCCAATGCAACCTGAGAATTCGTCCAGGCAAACAAGGCATGCTTGCTCACCACCAGCACCTTTTGTTAAATCTGCCCCTAAAATGATGTGATCTGCCCTCATCATATGGCCGTAGTGGAGTGGAGGAATTTCATCCTCACCTGGTGACCCCCTTGACCGATGAACTCGTCCTGTCATCTTTGCCCTCTGGCAGATTGAACAGTAACGGTTTTTGGGGAAGTGACAAAGTTGATGAGCTCCACTTTTGGCTTCCTCTTCAAGGCGTTCACGAAGTGATGGGATCCAAGGGTTAGCCGCTTCATCTTCTTCATCTAAAGGCGGGCAT